TTCTAAGACAAACTGATATTTTTCCTAATCATTAGAACACTCCTGCTTTCGATTTATATAAGTATTAGCCGTCCAATAATGGAATATATATAAATGAAGAAAAATAAGGCAACCGAACTTTAAGAAGTGAAATTTGGCCTGTTTTATGTTAAATGAAATAAATGGAGTTTTAAAATTTCACAAGTGTATGACTGAAGGTTGAATATTTCCTGATTGCCACTGTACTTGCCAATTAATTTGAAATCAAGCCTGTCAGTGGGCGTATATTACTTTACTTAGCAAGCTTTCTTTAACAGTTTAAATCTTCTCTCTCTTTAGCTATAAATTGTGGAGATCCTCCACCGGGGCTCGAATCATCAGGAACTGCATCAAGTGGTACTACATACACAGATACAGCGGATTATATTTGTAATGAAGGATTTGTAAGACAAAGTGGTAATTTACAGATTAGCTGTCTAGTTACAGGGAATTGGGATATAGCTAATATACTTGTTTGTGAAGGTAAGTCTCGACATTTACTTCTTCTGTAATCAATCTTGAAATTCTTAACAAACCTTAAACATGTTTAAATCTTGTGTCTATGATACCTTCGGATTTTTTAAACCGTTTTTCCCCTGTCAGTGATGCAGGTAAGAAGGGTTGGCATGGAAAAAACGTCTAGTCGTTCGGATGGGACAAACCGAGGCCCCGTGGGGTGCAGGCTGTGCACTTAAGATCCCTCGACATTTAGATATGGAAAAAGAGCATGCTAATGGCGTTCCTCCATAGCACCAGTCTTCATTAGCCCACATGGTGCAGAAAAGTAGGATGTAAAACTCCACTCATTTCATTTGTAGTTGTAAATTGTGGAGATCCTCCACCGGGGCTCGAATCAACAGGAACTGCATCAAGTGGTACTACATACACAGATACAGCGGATTATATTTGTAATGAAGGATTTGTAAGACAAAGTGGTAATTTACAGATTAGCTGTCTAGTTACAGGGAAGTGGGATATAGCTAATATACTTGTTTGTGAACGTAAGTCTCGGCATTTACTTCTTCTGTAATCCTTGAAATTCTTACTTTAAATCCTATTTGAATTCATTGCCTCAAAAGTTTTCATTTCAAGACCAAAAGCTTAATTTTGAATTTGCTATCATAAATCGGGTAATGGATACTGACAATTCACTCAAATCAAGAATTGTCCGTGAAAGGGTTTTTTTTTTTTTTTTTTTTTTTTTTGTAAAAGATTTTAATTATCAAATAAAACGATCATAAAATTTACCTGAAAAAAATTCTAAAGTATTTATCCATGTATCTATTTGATCTTAGAATGAACATAAAATTTAAGAATTTTAAACTTGGCCAATAAGAGCACATATTCATCAGTAGATATACCTGGTGTCATAAATAACATAACATGATCCTTATATAATCCGAAAAATCCAAAGAACTTTCCATAAATATGCAATTAAATATTGAAAAACGCTTAATATCAAGATTAAGCGTTTTTCACTTATTACTCAGTTTTATGAATTTTCCAATTTTCTAGATTTTACAGGTATTCTGTTGTAACTTTATGACAACAGGAAAGTTCACTGATGAATATGTGCTCTTATTGACCATTCTTGAGAACTCGAATTTTATTTTCATTCTAAGAAGGGGTATCACTTTAAAAACGGAGAGTACTGTTGTTAATTATGCAGTTTCAGATGATTTGGGTGTTATTAGAATATATTTTACTTAAATCCGTACAGTAGTTTTCTAACAGCTTGCAAAAAGCATAACGAACTTTAAAAGTTTATGTAAACTTTCGTCAACATTTCAAATAGTTCGGGCGTTCAAAAATTCACTGCGGGATTCTTATAGTTGAAACTTGTAGATACGTTAAATTAATTCCTGTTTTTTAAAGTCGAATTAAGCGAACTACATTTATTAGATAAATTGGTGTTTCTAATGAATTATCATGTATTCTTAATCATATCTTTGTTCTTATTGCATATAATTAAGAGTTTTAACCAGTCATAAATATCCTTGTATGTACAGTCCGGATAAACAAAGAAAGACTTTTGACCTTTCTTGATCGGTCACTCACTCGAATTCTGCTGGCAATTCTCTTCTTTAGCTAATTATGAATTAATTATTGACATGTGAGACAAACTGGTAATTTTCCAAGTCATTAGAACACCTATTTTCTATTCTTACAAGTAAGGGACCCCATCTTTAAGGAGCACATTTCTCGAGATTTTGATGTATAATTTTCACAAATTTGAGCAAAAAAAAAATGTTGGACCTGCAAAAAATGCGGAAAATTCCTTGTAAAGTATAAATCTTTGACGGATCTGGAGATTTATTTTAGGATCTAAATACGTAATAGAGATGATTTTATCAAATTATATTGTATGTAAGTTCTTCGGATGGGTTTACATGCAAAAAGCCCCCAGTCGTTCGAATGGGACCAAAAAACAGGCCCCCGTCAGCTACAGACTGTTCACGTTAATACCTCGACAGTTGAAAATCAAAGAGAAGGCTGTCCTGAGTAAATTTTTCCTCTTGCGTTGCGTTGCGTTGCTTTGCTTGTCCTCATTAGACCGTAAGGTGCAGACATGTAGGGCGTAAAATTCTATTTCATTTTAATTTCTGCTTTTTTTTCGGTTTCAGTTCCACCTCCACCTCCAGATCAACAGTGTAATCTTTTGATGTATGTAAGCAACTCATTGGATTTAGACACGAAAATTGCTTTTTCCACAGTGGATTCAGAGGAAGAGTGTGCTCCCTTATGTACAGACACATGTACCGCCTCGTTATACCTTCCTATAGGTGGTTATTGTGTGCGATTTGAAGACCCCATCATAAGAAGTATAGTACTTACCGTTTTAGAAAATTTCGAACCTTGTATTGATGCGTGCGTAGCCGAACCGGACTGTAAAGCGGTTTATAATACATATACTTACTTAATGGGTTGAATTTTAAGTAAGGGAACTCTGTGGAAGCACAATAGGTGCAAATCTTCCAGGGGGGTCTGAGTTCTCCACCAAGAACATTTTTGAAAATCAAAATTGATTTTGTGCATTCTGTCAAATATTTCGAATCTAAAAACGTATATTAATATCGGTAAATTTTTAAAGGGACGGGTAGGACCAACCTAGTCTCAAACTGGCCCCGTATTCTAGAAACGATCTTAGCACTTGGATGTCCTAGGTTCTTATCATCTAACATTGATTCTAGGACATCCTAGCGTTAAGATCGTTTCGAGAATACGGGGCCTGGAATTTCTAAACTGAGCTAATCAGCAATAGTGTTAACAGCTCACCGCCGACATTTTAGCCTACAAATCCATGTGTGTCCAGAATTATCTGCGTTTGAATGTTAAAATGACGACTCGTCAATTTAAGATACTATGTGATATATAGAAATAGTGAGTAAAAGTCCTAGTTTGAAGTATTTTAAAGGAATTACGTTATTTTCGTACATTTCTGGTACTTCTGAAGACTACCCCAAACCATTTTCTTAGGTGGCAAATGAACATCCCTCCACATCCCAACCGCGCTGCCACTAGCAATTTTGTTTTTAAGAGAACCGCTAGTGTATCGCCCGAGTCTGGCGAGGTTGGAACAATTTTGTTGATACAAATCTGAACCATTAGCGAAGCCCAATGCAGTCAGAGGAGGGTTTCACCATAGGAGTTGTACAAAAGGAGGAAAAGCTGAGTCCAAATATGACTTCTTGTGAAAATTCTCAAACATGCGATCCAAAAACCTTTTTTTCTATGAGCCGCTCTTGACAATTCTGTGGCCTCTTCTCGGGTGGGCCCTACCTAATGATTCCCCGAGATCAACTGTCGATAGCGTACTAGATTGTACCCACTAAACCCTTGAAAGTGAGCTCAACCTCCATTGTTCCAATTTTTGTCGTTAAACACACAAATTTGACTTCCTTTTATAAACTTCAGTTCATTTCTAAACAAAAACGTGAAAAGATTTTTAAGTTAAACGCCTCTTATTCAAACTTTTATAATTTCTTTTCTTCTTTTCCCCAGCACTGCGATAAGGCTTATAACTTCGTCATCTATTTCGTTTCGTCAGTGTTTACCTTAATTCGTGTTAACAGCATTTTAATGTAGCCTGTACGTAGTGGTAAAATGAAAACAATCACTGAAAATCCGTCACGAAGCAATATTACGATTTTGTTGAGAAAAAAAACTTGTTAGTTTTAGATTGTGTATTTGCTTAAAGGAGGATGGTTGTTCATGAGTTATATGTGTTAGTGGTGTTGCTAGGGATAGCACGTGCAGAGGAAGGTAGGTAACTATGATATATAAGGGCCTACTGTGAGCGCGAGAAAAGGCAAAGTGCGCGATTAAAAACGTGTATCTGTATGGACATGAAGAAAACACTTAGTGGTTCGGATGGGGCCCTATGTTTATAGTTTAAGTGTCAGTGCGGCATATTGTTTTACCAATCGTATCGGAAATTTTTAAGCTAAGCTAATCAGTAATAGTGTTCACATTTCACCGTCGAAATTTGAGCCTTCAAATCCATTGTGTACAGAATTATCCACGTTTGAATGTTAAAATGACGACTCGTCAATTTAAGATACTCTGTGATATATAGAAAATACATATATAGAAATTGTTAGTTAAATTATCCGATTTTGGTCATTTCTAGCACTTCTGAAGACTATTTGCATTAAACACTCAAATCAACCCCCCAAATTGGCATTACTGCCCCTGTAAAGAAAGTTTGAAATGTGTAGTTTTATGTTTATCAATTGCAAACTTGATTAAAGGCGAGAGGAGTGAGGTACCAGAACCGACCTCTCCACCCTCCCCATATAAAATCAGCCCTTACCACATAGCGGTGGTTCCCAATCTTTTCTGCCTTCACACCCCTGAGGCAATCACCTGGACCTTTCACACCAACAAAAATTTGTTTCTTCCACATATTCAGCATGTGATGATGTGAGGTGCTCTCTCAATTTAAAATAAATTCTTCTCCTACACCAGTGGGCCACACCCCTGACACCCTAGTCCCACACCCTCAGGGGGTGAAAACACTCCAGGTTGGGAACCAGGGCCCTATAGCCTATATCATATGACTGAACTTCAGTATGGACACAGGCTGAAATATGTCAGTTGTCTGAAGGTAGTAGAGTTTGAAACTGAGTATCAACAATTTGTGTTTTGATATTTCTAGCTTATATATGATGTTATTTTCTAGATTTGTGTGGGTTTAGAGTGATAGGAGGTGAACCAGCAAGAAGTAGGGTGCTCAGTGAACAGGCTGTAAGGTGTATGTGGCCATGGATGGTATCAGTAAGAAAGACTGAGGGGAAATATCTATGCCCTGGTGTTCTTATTGGTAGAGATAAAGTCATCACTACTGCCAGATGCATTAAAGCGTAAGTTCCCTTTAAATGGGATTGTAAGTGGTTTTCTAAATTCATTATGTGTATCGGGCACACTTATAGCTTACATTTGCACAATTCCAGACATCTGTGGTTCCTGCAATTCCACAAAAACTGAGTCACAGAAGATTTTTTAGAAAGATGAATGCAAAACTGTTTTACGTCCACTTTCTCAAACAAGGATGACGCCTGATATAATATATCGATAATGGAGAAACAAAGAAGAATTAAAAAACGGAATATGATTATTTGTGGATGTGTCTTTCTTTTTCAAATTGAAGTTGGCGCATACTCCCTCTTAAAGATGGATTCTCTTATTTCCATTTATTAAATGCTAATACTTATAAGAATAGAAAGTGGAGGTGTTCTAATGACTTGGAAAAATACCAGTTTGTCTCACATGTCCAGAATGCAAAATACCTGCCCACATTAAGAGCAGAAAAGTAAAACTTAATTTCATTTTCAAATCAACGCCATCTATTTTATTTTTTTCCTGATCAAATTGATATGTTTTCAGATTAGAGTCTCTTGAAGGACCAACTGAAGTAGTAGTAGGAGAACATAATATTCTGGTAGAAAATGATCGTAATGAAGAGATAATACCTGTTGATAATATGCTAGTTCATCCTGAATACGATTCATATTGTGTTGGTAGGTTTGATGATTTTAATTTCATTATCTCCACCAATACCATATATATTTTGTTGGTCATATTCACAATGTCAAGCTATAACGAACTTGAATACCTTAACTGTATTAGCCACCTATCTTGTACTACAGAACTTTTTTTTAATGCAGCGATTTGATTGGATTATACGCTAGAGAATACAGCCAATCGGAACTTGACAGAAAGATTTGCAATTTTGTTGCGCGTGTGATTGTCGGCTGTCAGTGGCAGTTAGTCTCATACGAAACTACGTAATAATATTTGAATTGCTTTATTTTCAGGAAATGATATTGGAGTGGTCAAATTGAGCAGAGACGTTGAATATAATTTATGTATTGTACCGGCCTGTCTGTCATCAATTCGACCTGACCCGTCCTGTGATAATTTTCTCAATGAATGTGTAATTGCGGGTTGGGGCAAATACATGGGTAAGATAACTTTACAGAGATACGGTGCCGATGTGGCATCACTTTTAAAAGATAACGGAGTCGAGGTGGAGTCACTGTCCAAAGACAAAGTATCCATTCATCAATCTATCCATGAAATTACAGTTACCAGGCCGTCCCATTAGCCCACATGGTGCAGAAAAGTAGGAAATAAAACTCCATCCATTTCATTTCGTTTTTTTTTTGGTTACCAGGTTCACGAAATCCTCTTTTAAAACGATTGTTTTGTTTATTAACCAATCAAATTGTCGAATTTTTCAAACAAACATTTTTTGTCTCATTTCAGCAACCACGCCAGATAGGTCGCCGATTCTAAGATGGGCGTACACCAATATGTTGGGACCCAATGTGTGCCGCGCCATCTACCAATATTGGGATAACTCGACTCTGCCTGAGAATGTGTTTTGTTTGGATAAAATTACGAGTAAACGAGCAGCTTGTTTGGTAGGCAACTTTTTTTCTGCTAACAGGGTGTTGCGTTATTTAACTTAACTTCTCAAAAGGAATAAACGCCTTGCTGTTTTGACCTTGGTGATCCTTAGCTCGACCCTCGCTCGACCCTCGCAAACGTTGAAATATGTCCTTTGTGATTTTTTAATCATATTTTACAACGTTACCAACTTACTCATGTCTACCAACTGGTTTTTAATCAAATCTTATCTGTTTGAAGTGCGGAGAGGACTAAGAACAGAAAATACATTTTACATACAACATGATTGTGAGCCCCTGTGGCAATTCTGTGGCCTCTATCCTACCTATAATAATGCATCGAGAAACGTGATTGAGACTAACAAAATATCTTCTTTCGTTGCAGGGTGACGAAGGTGGTATGGTCGTTTGTAATATTGAAGGACACTGGAAATTAAAGGGATTGATAAGCCTGGCCACCTGTGACGACAATTTACCGTCGCTAGCCGTGGATATTTCAAACTCGAAAATTCACAACTTTATCACTAGTCAATAAGTCGACACATCATTTAAGTATTAAAGAATACTTCCTCTTAAAATGAACATATCCTTAACCTTCTTAAGCCGCGAATGACCAGTGCGGTGAACAATGTAGGTAAATCGACTCTGTAGAAAATAGAACAAGTGAACAGAAGAGGTACGGGTCAGCGCACGCTGCGGATAAGATTCGCTTCTTCTATTTTCTACTGTATCGATAGTCCCGCACCGTACACCACACCGGATGTCGCCTATTCCCACCTTTAAACGTATTGGCCAATATACTCATCAGTAGATTATCTGGTGTCATAACTATACACAGAGTCTCTGCATAATCGGATAAATTCTATAAAATAATAGGTTATTATAAAAAAAACCTTAAATATGTTTGATAATTTAAATCTCATCTGTGTATTCCTTTCTTTTATTTTATACCGTACCATTCGGCAATCCTCGGCAGTTTCCATAAAGCTGAATCCGTTGCGCAGACCTTAAGGTTAGGCCGTTTGGCACCTTACACCATACTTCGTCTATTCGCACCTTAATATATAAAATTTTGGAGGTATTCGTCGTACCTAATTTATACCTTTATCATCTTTACATTTTGTATGTATGATGACCTAATAAATTATTTAGAAAATTATCTGTTAATTCTTGACAATTGCATCTTCACAATGGTCAAGATATTATGTCATCGTCTCATACCTTGACTACAGTCGTCTACTTTCTTGTTTCCCGGAAGTTTGAGAATGCGGTAATTTGATTGGATTGTGTGCTAGCGAACGCAACCAATCTGAGCCCTCAACAGAAAGACCGTAAAAAAATGATTACACATGAAATCGGGGACTCTGATTGGCTGTATTACATTTGCTAGTGTTGTGATCCAATCAAATCGATGACCGTGAAACAGGTGGTCACGGTATAAGATGAAGACATAATACCTTAACCTTTGTGAAGATCTGTCAATTGAGACTGTCAGACTAATACTCATTGTACTCCTAACCACCCAGTTGACTATATATCCCGAAAACGGGTTTTGGCAGTCTTGGTATGACGAATGTGGGTGTGGTTTGGACACGATGCCAGTGCCCAATTATCAGGCACCTTGTCCCTATCCACTGCAGGAATCTGGTACCATAGCATTTGTTTGCCAGCTAGACAGTTCTCATATTTGTGTCGCTGATAATTTACAAATATCATTCCATAGAATTAACCCGAAAAACCTGGCCCTACCCGTTCCTCGGCAACCCAATTAGGTCAACGGGTACCGACTCATTTTATTAAGCCACTGTTGCTCGAACGTGATATACGGGTGGGTTATCGAAAGGCACGCCGTAGCATATATTGTTTAAGCTCGTAGCTATGCTACTGATGCTTAAAAAACCTGCAGGCACGCCGGTATCCCATCCGTATATCACGTCGTAGGAATGGCTATTGCCAGATTTGGCGGGCTACCGTAGAACATGATGTTAAGCATGGATTATAGAATTTTCCAAGAAGAATTTAAGGTCAAAGACAACAGAAGTTCATTAAACAAGCATTACTTATTCACATCAATTACAACCGGATCACAGTATAAATAAAATGTCATATTGAACATTGACACCACATGACATAATTCCTTTTCAGTTTAATTTAGCACACACAAACTCTTTTTTCATAAAATGATAACATATCCTAGTAAAGTAAAAACAGGAAAGTGAATAATTTTACAAAGTTATAAGCTAAATTAGTAGTATATCCATAATAGTGATCTTATTTATTGTTTACAAGCCGGTTACAAGTTTATTCTTTTCTATATTTAATTGAGGAAAACGACCTGCCAGCTCTGAACTGGAACTCGACAGACTGGACAGGGTTTGTTTTTAAAATTAGACACACAGCTGGCACAGCAACAAACATGGCGACAAGGTTCAAACAAAACTGATCTGTCCTCATCTACACAGAATAAACAGATTCTGTTAGAGTCACGTGGTTTTTCTCCCCCTCCTGAAATATATTAAATCATTATGAAGATGGGGCTAGAGCAGATTGAGGGGCAGGGCCCAAAGCCTTAAATTTCAAAGTAATTCATACATAATATATTTAATCATTCATCATAATTAAGAACAAGGAAAGTAACTCTGTATGTGTTGAAAAGAAGAGATTTTGAAATTGTAACATGCAGGGACACACTTGTATAGCTGACCAACCGGCATTTTCAAGAAATTGAGTATAGGAAAGGTGGGGGAAAGGAACAAGCTGGGAAAGCCTAGTTGGGTGTTGGGGTGAAAGGCCTAAGAAACCCAAGGGCTCAGGGGCTGTGAAGTCAGCCACTTGTAACAGGGTGACTTTAAGGTACGGTAACCTAAATGGAACCCACCTTGTTGTTTTAGTCTTGTATATTCCTTACATAGGACAGATATTTCTTTTTCATAATTCTGAATCTCTGCTTCAATTTTTTGCTTCTGCCATTCAATTTCTGTTTTACAGCGTTCGAATTCTTGTTGGTATTGACTTGTCTCTTGCACAGGAGTAACTTCCCTTTCTTCATGCCGTGATACAACAGTTTGTAGTCCTAAATTCAAGTCTACTAATTGTCCATACTGTTGGTCTATGGGGGAGTCATTGTCTTCTAGTTCATCACTAAATTGTTGTCTTGTGTTTAGCCTTTGCTGATGGAATTGTTGCTCTTGTTGATGAAGTTGTTGATCTCTGTGCTGTACTATTTGCTCACATTGTTGTTGGCTTTCCTCCATTATTTCCATATTTCCTTTTCTGTATTGTCTAACTGTATGCTATATAATTATATTAATGGGTGAAAGTTGAGTAGGTTATAGAATGTATAGAATGAGTGTTGAAATTTGATGTTGAGCTTGTTATTAAAGATAACTGAGATCAAAGTAAATCTACAAGATATAAATTATTTAAATGACTTTGTACCTTTCAAATATTCCCCCTCAAATTCCATTTTGATCCAACTTGTTGCCTTCAAATGCAATATGTTGAAAATCTACTCGATGGCACAGTGCTAAAATCCCGATTGAAGTAAATAAAACGGCGCTGTTGCTGTTTCACCCCCCCCCCCCCCCCCCCACCCCCTCTCGTCGAGCTATCGATGTGAAACTTGGCAGAGAGATACTTATATATGTCCTGAATATTCACAGCAAATAAGCAACCTTCTGATATTTACACCATCGTCATCGCAGTTTTGCTTTTTCCCTATGACATGGCATTTTACGAATTGGAGCAGGAAATCCTGGCATTGAGGTTAGACATTTGCAAATTTGCCATCTTCGCCATCAAAGACAAATGTCAATTGGCATATACCATCATCTAATAATGCAAAACCATTCAAATTTGTCTAAAAGTTTAAATGAAAAAGTCTCACCTTTACGAAACTGCCATTTTATTTATTGTGAAACTCTTCAATATGAAAAAACCACAAACGGTGGGATCTACTAAGGGGCAACAACTCCATTATATTTCATGTATAACAGACCGATTTAAAACCACACTTTTGAATTAATTTTATTACATTATATAAAATACTGAAATGGACCCCATTGTTCCAAAATAATGAAAGGAGAATTGAACTTTCCTGTAATGGGTTTCGTTTCGATTCTCTAAAGAAAGGTCTGTGGCATCAGAATTCTGTTTGTACGTCGATGAGGACTCGGTGCTGATTTATCTAATAATTGCCTTGTGTCTTGTCAACTCGACTGACCAATCTCAATCCTTAAAAGAAAGCATTGATCGCACACTTTGAAAATGGCATGCATTAACGAAGGGTAGCTGAATTTCAGCTCTGTAAGATGAGAAACTAAATATATCTTTAGATATACGGTAATTAAAAGGAAATAGTCATTAATTGTTGCATGATTCTGATTGATAGTCGTATACTTCGAACACCGGATTCCATCAATACCACCAAAGAAGACTGTGACTGTTGGTATGCCATGCACAATCTGCTGGCAAGTTTGATAGTTTGTATGTTCTAGTCTTATTCTAGCCACAGAACACTGTCTTGTACCAAGAGATCTGCCACCTAGTTGGACATGATAGCATGGCATGTTTAGTTACATTTTGGCCACAGAACATTGTTGTCGATTCGGCTCATTATACTGTTTAGGTAATTAATGTTGCAGACTGACCGAACTTTCACGATTAATAGTTCAAAGTCATACACGATCCACTGCTATAAGTTTGATATATATTAATTCAAACATTGATGACTCTATATTGACCTTATAGGTGGGGATTATATTTACCTTAAAATTACCTTAAAATTACCTTGAAATTAACAATATTTCTTGAAAAGTCAGGAAAATCGAGGGTTTTTAAACGACCCTTTAGTAGGGCGAATTTCATATTTTCAATCTTCACCATGTTTGAATTTCACAAAGAATAACAAAAGAATTTGGTCGATTATCACTTGTCTTATTTTGATTCACTCGAAGTCTTCCTTTTTTTACTACAAAACATAATTACATTGCAAATAGAAATACTGACAGTTGATTGGTGAAGAGATGAAATAAAAAGTTTTGATTGGTTGGCAATCTTCTTTGATGAAAATCTACTTAAAAAAAGACCGTACCCTTCAATGTAAGCAAATTAAGATTCAACAGAACAAGTTTTGTACGACCCTTTCCCTTTTTGAATATAATCTATAGTTTGTACTGTATTCCCAATGTAAACTATGGTTGTATCAATACGGCCATTGAAAACGAAGATTCTCGCGTGATATTCCAGCTCGTGCTGTATAGAACAATATAAGTGACGTATTGCCCAATATTGCCGCTCGGCTATCTTTGATTCTTTGGTGACGTAGCCGAAATTCTTTCTGGATTTTTTCGACAGTTGGCCGATTTGACATCGTAGTGGGCTTTCACTAGCTCCATAGTAAATTTGTGGAATTTAAAGTGCAGTATTTCGATTTTTTACCTTAAAAAGATGCTAAGATTTGTGGCTTTGGGCCTCTTGGCCTTGGTTGGAATAACCATAGCTACTCCACACAAAACAGGTAACTTTTAGTTTTAATTTTTATGATCTGATGGGTTTAAAGTTTTAGCGCTGTGGGTGGTAATAATGAGCGGAGTGGAGCTGGGAGAATATGATGATATACGGCCCTGCTCTGTATCAGTTAACAAAAACTAAATGTGTGTTGTTTCAAACTGAGGACCGTGATATCAATTTGAATTAAGAGCAAAACAATATATTCATATTGAAAATTATTATGATTAAAAAACGAACTATTGATCGCATCCCCTTTGGGAAGAAAGGGTTGACACTGGGTATAAGGACAGCAAGCAATTTATGGAGAACAACTTAAAAACTGTTTGCGGTAAAACTGACATAATAAATCTTATATCATCCTTACAATAGGCGAATCTTGCTACACTGGAGATATTTTCCCCATTGTACACCGCATTGCCGCCCTAATTAGCCAAATCACTCTACATTTTCATTTGAAAATTGTGTTGAAAAGTTATGCTCTTTGTTATACCATAATATATTCCCTTGTGTTTTTTTGCTCTGCGCTTCGTATAAACCAAATCTAAAACTATATTTATCAATTGTATGAGGGTAGGGATCAGTTTGGTGGGAACCTGCACCTTGCTATATATAACCATAGAGGGTAATGAGATGTAAATAAAATAGAAGATAACATATATAGGATAAGACACAACATGTCAACTCGAACTTTCTCACATCAGGGTAGGAGGCGCAGTCAATTACAGATTACAAATTACAGTTCACAGTTCACAAATCAAACAGTCTTAATGTTTGCTTTACTATTTGAAAGAGCTTATTTTCAGCTATCTGTACAGATGTCTTAATGTTTGCTTTACTATTTGAAAGAGCTTATTTTCAGCTATCTGTACAGATGTCTTAATATTCGCTTTACCATCTGAAAGAGCGTATTTTCAGCTATCTGTACAGATGTCTTAATATTCGCTTTACCATCTGAAAGAGCGTATTTTCAGCTATCTGTACAGATGTCTTAATATTCGCTTTACCATTTGAAAGAGCTTTTTTCAGCTATCTGTACAGATGTCTTAATATTCGCTTTACCATCTGAAAGAGCTTTTTTCAGCTATCTGTACAGATGTCTTAATATTCGCTTTACCATCTGAAAGAGCTTATTTTCAGCTATCTGTACAGATGTCTTAATATTCGCTTTACCATCTGAAAGAGCTTTTTTCAGCTATCTGTACAGATGTCTTAATATTCGCTTTACCATCTGAAAGAGCTTATTTTCAGCTATCTGTACAGATGTCTTAATATTCGCTTTACCATCTGAAAGAGCTTATTTTCCGCTATCTGTATTGATGTCTTAATATTCGCTTTACCATCTGAAAGAGCTTATTTTCAGCTATCTGTACAGATGTCTTAATATTCGCTTTACCATCTGAAAGAGCTTTTTTCAGCTATCTGTACAGATGTCTTAATATTCGCTTTACCATCTGAAAGAGCTTATTTTCAGCTATCTGTACAGATGTCTTAAAATTCGCTTTACCATCTGAAAGAGCTTATTTTCCGCTATCTGTATTGATGTCTTAATATTCGCTTTACCATCTGAAAGAGCTTATTTTCAGCTATCTGTACAGATGTCTTAATATTCGCTTTACCATCTGAAAGAGCTTATTTTCAGCTATCTGTACAGATGTTTTAATATTCGCTTTGTGAAAAGAGTATATTAATTAGTTTTAGAGTCGTAAAGAAATTAATTTTTGCAGACAACAATGGGTCATTGTCCTCGAGATTTAAAGTATTTTAATGCTAAGACAGAAGGATTAAGTAGGGTAAAGCCTGTCTATTGACTCGCATACAGATTCAGAATTTAACATGGCCGCCTTGTGATGGCTATTTCTTTCTGGACAAATATGTTTTAATAACAACTCTTAATGATTTCACCGTCCGGAAAGGTTTTGCTACGTCACTTCCGAGTCAGAGATCGGTAGTAATTTCCGGTTGTTGCAATATATGAGTCTAATGCGATGAAAGGTTAAGGAGATAACAACGGTCTGTGATACATTTAAAGATGGATATTAACTTTCCCAACAAAACATTTACATTAAGGATGCAGTCAAATACATTGTAGGTAATGGTATTTGAACTACAGTGCAAATATACACCGCCCAAAACATAAACTGTATTGAAAATACACTCTACTGTTGTTGTTTCATTAAAATATATTTAATTTAAGTTAGATTACATGTATTCAAATATAACGAGAAGAAACGGGAATGAGTTCGATTCTTTTAAATGCGAATTAGCATTCTGGCTGTGGGCCTGCGTTACACATTGCCCACTGCGTGACGTTGCGCATCTTCAATGAACCAATCGGGTGCAGAAATGTAGGACGTTAAAAAAAAACATTAAATTTATTGCCTAACTTGCTGTCTGTATTTTCAGCCTTATGTAGCCGGTACCTTCGAGGTACCTGTGTGAAGGACGGGTGTCCTAATAGAGAGATGTTTAAGGGTAACTGTAGCGAGGGGGATGGTGAATGCTGTACCGGAATGGAAGATTATGAACCACAGATTGACCCAGAAGCCAGAACCTCAGGTGAGATATCCCAGCATAGCTCCTCAGCATACGTGTGACATATTTCAATGTTCCATACACTACACAGTCATTCTCATGGTAGGACGGAATTTAAGGGGCGTGTCTTCATGAAATCTTACTATTGATTCTGATGTCTGAAGAATTCTATTTTTCAATGTTAAATTCCTCACTTGCGACAAAATCTCAACGTTTTTTAAGAGAATTTTTTCTTGCGATCAACCTGTTTATCTTGTATGATATTTCTCAATTTCAAATTGAAGATTTTTTAAGAAACGGGGCCCAGAGAGAACTGTCATCGCTTTACTCCAATGATGTCCCCAACTGTCCAACTTATGGTCAATTGTATCCCAATAAAGTTATTTGGCTATATTATTGTTATTATTATATTCCAGATTACTGTGGTAGAAACATGCCAACAGGTCGTATTGTAGGTGGCACTTTAGTTCCTCAATGCACGTGGCCATTTTCTACAATGGTGGCACTCAGACTATTTTTTTCCAGTGATATTGGTGACCTAGGTAACACGACATTCTGTGCCGGAAGTTTGATTTATAAAGATTTGGTTGTTACCACAGCAAACTGTGTCAGACCGTAAGAAATTTATAATAGTTATTTATACATAATTTGCTGTCTTCAATGCCGAAATCAAAATCGGAACTATGGTTAAATGAGTTCATTAGACGCCGGAATAGTAACAGAAGATTTGTACATAGAAAAAGAAAGAGTCCGATGCTGTAAAATATAAATTTCTCGACAGTCCTCGTAAAGTTGAATCAAGAACAGTGCCAGCGGAACATTCACGGCGGAGCATTTTGGTCGCTAATTTTATGATTTATATATCTGGTGTGCTATATATTATAAGAATGGTTCAATTTGGGGAAAAGGTGGCTCCAATGAGAATTATTGGCCCGAATATCTTGTATTACTACTTATTTGTATAATTTGTATATCTACTATATATTGTGTATTGTTAGGATGCTAGAATCTGACCAGATATTGAAGAGTGTACGAGTTGTAGTGGGAGAATACGACAGTCTGAAAACTGATATTGACGAGGAAAGAATCAAGATACGAGCAATCAAGGCTCATCCAAACTATGAATCTGTTGGATTAGGTAAGGAGTATACCTGGCACTTATCGATTCTTGCTGAAAGGACCCATATACGGCGTGCTTAGTCAATGTTGGGTCCTGAATCCGTAACCTGCATGTCGAGTTCTTTAACCCATAGACTGTATTTTAATAGATCTGATTCCAATCTAGCTACGGTGTTTATATCAGATACAACTCAATCATCTGATTTCCATTAATAATAACTTCAGTTCAGCTATCTTTACTTTGTCTTCGTTGTGTTCCACTTGCATGAGTTGGTAATGAATCATAACCATTCAACAACGGCACCAGATCCAACCGGAAGTGAACACTTGGTTACATCCGGTTGATTTGACTTGTTTGGTCTTGAATCTATTTCAGGAAACAACGTTGCTTTGATCAGATTAGAAAAAGAAATTAAATACACCAACTGTAAAATGCCAGCATGTCTACCGAATGAGGTCGATCCGACTGATAAAGGGTGTCAACAAGTCAAGAAAGACTGTTATATGGCTGGTCTCGGAACAGCTTATGGTAAGGATTTTGACTGTTTTGGACGCCTTTAGAGGTTTCGATCATTTCGGACATTTTAGGGTTTTAAAACCATTGATAAGTTTTTGACACTTAGAGCCATTTGGACATCTCTTAGGATCCGGACTAATTTGGATGCTTTCGAGGTTTCGAACCATTTCGGACGTTTTAAGTATATTAGAATTCAACAGAAAGCATCAATTTTTCAACCAACCAAATACGTTGCAAAGTTTTAGGAGACCAAATTGCGATACAATATTTTTATATTGCAGAAGATGAAACCGTGCCTTACCCAAGACCAACTAAAGCCAATGTGAACGTGTTTAATGCTGCTACCAGTAAAACCATCTTCAACTACCGACCCAGATCGACCAACATTGAACTTCCCGAGGGGTCAATTATAGTTGAACCCATGACCACTGGGGTCAGAGCCTGTACTGTAAGTATCAATCAGGTTTTAATATCTTCATTACAGGATACGGTTAATATGGGAAAGATCAATGCCAGGAGGTTTGGCCAAGGACCAGCTGGTAGAAAGGAAACTTGACTGTGAACTTAAGTTGTTATCCTTGTAAAATATAGTTGTTCCTTTTTTTCATCGTACATTGCAAGACTTAGGACATGATATGTCGACAGGTGGCGTTGTCATACATTAAGTGGAGGGACTGGGAAAACGTCAATGAGGGTCCAAAAGCGGACAAGCCTTCTTTCTAGGAGGACCTCTCCACGTCACGTTGTCTCGGCCATTAGATCGTGTACAAATATTTAATTTTGATCCCATATATTTCTACTGCCATGGGCCACCCAGCTCAAAACTCTGTATCATTCATCTGTATAATGAAATTTCACCTTTCTGTTGTTGTTATTTTTCAGTTCGACTGGGGAGGTATAGTTGTGTGCCCAATCAAGGGTAAAATGGAACTTACCGGTCTAATCAGCTTCCATAACTGCTTGGAACCCGGTACCACCCCCATCATAGCAGTTGATATAGTTCACTTTAAACCATGGATAGAGTCGTGCATGACCGACTTCGCCAATTGCTCTTATTAATTTATCAGTTTTGCTATGGCAGCCATCTTTAATTTTTAACATTATTTTGAATTAACGAGGACGGACGTCATAGAGAACACTTATACTGACAATTCCGTGCAAGCTTGTACGGAAATTCTTAGCACATCTTTGTAAAATGATTTATGTAATCGTGCAATACTTTTCATAATTTTCGACGAATTTCAAAATGTAAATACAGTCATCCAAACATATGGATTCATTTTTTTCGTGATGGCGGACTTCACAGAGAGCATGTACAAATAAATCGTGATACGAAATTGAATAAGCCTATTATTTAGCTTTGTTTGATTGAAATGGGAATGCCTCATCTCATTCAGAACACAGTATATTTACATTGTGACAATAACTGTTCAAGCTTTCTTTCGTTGTTTGATTAATGTCAAGAAATTCAAGATGGCCGCCATTAAGTGTTTTGTGATACATTTGTATTCAAGAAATTTCCCTTTATTTATCAAATTTTATTCTGAATATGTTTCATTGTCTCTTAAATTCAATTTCTTGCCAAAAAAAAACTTGATTCATTTTGTTGTACAATGCTTTGTACTTAATATATCTTTTGAGAAAAATATCACCTTGCCTTTGAATATTTATTTTGAAATTTTATTGTTCGTCTTGCCAAATCATTCTACGCAAATTCCAATTTACCATAAAAAAAATTACTTGCCAATTCTCTTTAAAACTTCTTAGATCTCCTTGCCGTACATATATCTTTTTATATATCTTTGGACACAAAATAAATTGACTTTTATACAACGATTTGTGTTATTATATACATGTACTCTTTTTAGTCTATTGGTTCTTTTTTGCAGCAATAAGGGCAGTGGCCCAACTAGATGACTAATGTGGGACCTCCTCCGCTCCCCCACCCGGAGATTTTTTTTAACATATGCTCTCCTGGATTTTTTTCTGGGGGTCCATGAACTTCAACCAGTCCCTGGGATAGTTGAGCCACTGATTTAGGGGTAAGGTCTATGGTTCCCTTGCTCTTCTTGAGAATGCCCATGTGTAAAATGGCGAAATGGCTATCGGTTTATATTAGTGGTTGACCAGCTGCAAATAAATAAATATTGAAGAGTGTTCGATCCTTTTTTTCTGTTTCACACTGTGATTACTAGTGTTTCCATGTCACTTTGCAACGATACAGCCCCACCTCTTCTTAATTGTATCTCTGTCCTTTAGATGGAATGCCTTTAACAAATAAACGGTGTTTATTAGAGGGTCGAGGGCCTTGTTAACGAACAGCGCTTGTCAATTAGACAAGGAGAAGACCTACTACCAAATACACAAGGTTCAAGACAAACAAAAATCCCTAGAACAAAACAAAGAGGACCACCCATCTAGAGTGACTAACATCCTCTTGTCTTATACTTGTATCACGATTAGCATGGTGTAAAATATCACAAGATAGTGACGTTTCTACTTGGAAGGTGGGAGGGGGCACATTCAAATGTTTAATATAGAGAAAGAATTGCCTCTAAGCGATCTAAAACAAATTTTGCTTTCTCACATAATTATTCATAGAATGCCTCTATCCCAAGATTAGACAGATTCAAATTTAATTGTACAAGTCTAAATAACTACGTTTGGTCCAGCGAGACGGCAGGGCATTATTACACTTCTTGAACACTTGCAATTGGATTTGTAACTTCGGCTGGACCCGGATACAGGATGGTATGGCTGATGGTGGGGAAATGTTGAAGGGAACATCAAGGCAATGATAGATGGGAGGTAACTCTTGTTATAGTTTGTCTATTTAGACCACAATTCCAATATATGATATTTGCGCGCAAGTTGTGAAAAAATTGCTAGACAATTCGGTATCAAGTTTGGAGATTCATATAGCTAATAACGATTAAAGCAAACAGTTAATTTCCTTTTGCAATATACTGATAAGTTGTCGACAGTGGAACGTGAGCACGTATAACTCCATTACATTTGCATTGTTATGCATTAAGTACCAAATTAAACCAGTCAGGTCAAGCAGATTCAAATTGGACAAAATGCTCCAACAAATATTAAGCCCTAATTAATAATAATATAAGCCTATTAATTATTCTCTTCGGAGAGGAATGCATGTATTTCAGCAATCCTGCAAACATCTAAAGGGGAATAACTCTTATTAATAAACGTGAATTCCAGACTACATTAAATAAAGAAACTTTTGATGGATATATCACAGTTCTATTGGTATTAAATAAAACAGATAATTTACATAAATTACAATTTACAATTAAGCCTATATTTAAATATTCATTATACAAACATCATGGTACTTGGTGAGATTCGAAATTACTGACCAAGGCAAGAAAGCTATTTTCTGTCTTTGGGTTGTTTGGCAAAAACGGCAACTTGCTACATCACAAGAATTTCATGCAGAACATTCCATAAACATACACACGAATAGTGTCATCTTTGTTGTAGAGAAGTTTTCTAAAAATTTGTGTTTATAAGAGAAACTGATAGTGATCTGTGAAATTGCAAGAGCCAAAGACGTCTGATTGAAAATTGGAATTGTGCAAATTGATGCTATCGGTATACCTGATGCACATGAAAAAAGTTTAGAAAACCTGTTTACAATTCCTGTAAATAAAAAATCTAACGATAAACCTAATTGAGAATTGTTTCGTTGACCTTAAATATTTAAAGCAGAAATATCTTTCTACTGGCCTAATAATGAGCTGAAGAAATTGAAAGATGTTTTACAGATGTGTTATCATTATACCAAGCATTCAAGGTAAAACAACATATAATCTTATAAATGCATTTAGTATTTGTTCACTGTGGTTTTAACAAAATTAATCTCAAGTGGACCTTTAACAAACATTCTGACACTGGAATATATATATATATATAGACTTAATATGTTTGCAAACAATGAAAGTGGTCAGGAGTTCTGAACACAACTCACAACTCAGTTGTCTTGGAAACTTATGACCGTTTTTCTGATTTGCATCCATACTTAACTAGTAATATGGTGTGGGGGTCTCTTTAAACAATATGGTGCTTGATTTTAATAATGATTTGTGTAGAAACAACAAGATAATATCATTCAATAAAAGTCTAAAAGTCAGACGCCAGATAAAAGTCTAAAAGTTTGGATACCGGTTATCCCATCATGTTATCATTACGTATCTTGTAAAGATGCCCTTAAAGCTGCTTCTAACATAGCCTCATCATCTTGTTCATAATCCTAGAGTAGAGTAGAAAATAGTAGAAGTTACAGTATACTCTGCGTAAACCAGCAGACACTAGGGCCGTAAAACATTTTCAGATGTGTAACTCCTTTTCATTTTAATTGCAACTTCTGCTAAATGCAAAGGATACAAAATGCAGAAAGGGGTAATATAGATGTATTAAATTAAATGTCAGATATCAAAGTAATATTTAAACATTTAGATTATATTAAGTAAAATTGTCCTGTTTAAATGAAATGAATGGAGTTTTAGGTTTTCCTGGTTAAGAAGTAGGCGGAGGGATCAAAACTAAATAAAAATTAACCAGTATTAAATAGATGAAAAAGTATCTTAGGATCTTAAAATGTTCTTACCACATACGTATCATATTCAAATTTATGTCTAAGATTTAAATGTTGTAAAAAGTTACCACTGGTACGATTAGGATCACCCCATGGCATCGACAAACATACTGGGCATACCTACAAATAGAACAAAAATAATTACAGAACTTCAGTTCAGTGTAGGACTCAATTACCTCAGGTTTCCTAATTTATAATCTTCAAACTATTTGTGTCACCACTAAAATTTGACATAACTGCATAGTTTTTACTCAAGGCAATATAATGGGTCAAGTTCTGAGATAGTAACTCTCGATGCTAAAAATGACTATGTGTCAATAAGAAACAATGTCCATAGGCAAAGTGATATAGAAAATACTAATAAAATTGTAAAAATTCTATGTGATAAATGAGCTATCATTTGTAATACTTTGTATTCTTGTAAATTGTGCAAAATTTTATACAAATAAACAATTATTATCATTATTATTATCATTAAAATAATACAGATCCACTGGAAAACGAAACTAAAAATCTCAGGCAAGCTGTGCCCCTTCGACTTACCACTTTAGCGGGACTATCTCTATGAATGTTGTTACAATGTTTAACTAAAGCTGCAAGGTCAAGGTTACACTGACCACAGTACGGACATTTAAACGTCGCTCGATTTGGTGCATCACTGGAATAAAATAAAACAATTACTCCTGAAATTCAGTGTCCTAAAAATTTGTACCTTTTCATGTTAAATTTCTAACAGAGCCTGTTTTCAAAGAATCCTTTATACTAAGTAAATATGCAGTAAATAATATTCTTGTGTCCATAACCAAACCTTCCTGCCCCACCTTGTGACCTACAGAGTCTGTTTATTGATGATCCTTTGCAACATACCCAACTCCCCTTCCCTCTTAATTTTCCCACTTACCTAGGAAAGGACTGAGAGGTCTGTTTGACTGGTTTAAATACAGGAAGAGATGTATCAACTTTTTCACACGAACTAACATGTTCTCGAAGTTGTATTAAAGTTAGCTGGAAAAAATCAGACTGGGAATGAACACATTGCTGACTAAAACACGAAATTGTATTTCTGAACACTTACAATACTGTAGAAACATTTTTCAGGGCCTTTACAAGGTCATCTTTTGATATGTCAAAAATCGTTAAGGGCAAGGGGTCTGGAGCTGCCTTAGGTAACACCTTTTCTGAACACATCATATCATGTTTCTGGTTTTTATAGACTAGCATTGTGAGAAATTGTGAAAAATGGCCTTAATACATACAGATTTGCCACACCATTTACAACAAGATTTCTTCTTTTTCAGTAATTTGTTTAACTCGGAAGCTTTCTTCAACTGAGAGGGTTTAAAAATGTTTCTACATTGAGGACATCTTGGTTCTGCCAATTCTTTATAACCTTCTAAACAACCTGCACAGTATCTGCAATACAGACGTATATATTGTTTAGAGGAAAGCATATAGTTTCAAACTCGGATAATTTCAGACATACATTGATTTGAAGGCTCGAATATTGATGGTGAGCTATGAACACTATTACTGAATGGCTTAGCTAAGTAAATGTTCCTGGGACTAAGGTAGGATTGGACAAACAAATAGCTAACTTGTCCCTTTAAGAAACTGTAGATAATTATTGACATAATTTTATTGTTTTCTTCTGGCTAATTATATTTTCACTGACTCGACAGCATTTGATCTGAAATGACAGGTGTAGACTTACACATGATCATTTCCACACGATATTTTCACAGGCTCCAGAAATATTTCTAGACAGATTGGACAAGTGAATTGATCTGTCGAGTCAGCAGAACCCAGATCAATAGACCCACTGCTGCCGGTTTCATACGTTTCTTCGAGATGTGAGCTAGATTTCATCGGTTTTACGGCCATACCAATTCTGATCTTTAACAAAATATGTTAAGAATTGATTACTCTAACTGTGTGTTGAAAGATAGACGGTTCTTAGGACTAAAATGTCATATTCTGATAAATTCTTATTTCTTCACAGAAATTAGTCCAAAAAGTTATTTACACCGGAAGTTGAAATCTGACTATAGAGTTGCGCCCCTTGCATCAGATGGCGCTACAACGACCGGAAGTTCTCCATGTTTGTTTTGGAATTTTGTCAATAAGAAAGTTTGAAGAATTTGTAATTAATAAAGACTTGATTAAAAAGAAATTGGTTTCTCCGGAACCAGTGAGTAACGACTTACTTCACTGACACAAGTGAGGCTACGCCTTTCCCTCCTAAAAGTGGAGTCTCAGTCAGTTGAACAGTTCACACTTGTCAATCTCATGTCAGGTGCCCCTCCACTGCTCCAGTCACTGCCACTAGCCTCATACCTGTTTTTCGGTCATGTATCTTTTTACAGTTGGGAAATGGTAGGACATTGCACACTTAGTGACATTTCATTTTGTTGTATTTGATTGTAATTATGAAAATTGATTTTCTAGGTATGGGACTTATTAAAGAAGTGATAGTAACTGTACTATCGATACTGGCTATAGTTCTCCTATCAGAAGCTTGCAATGAGGATATCTGTGGACCTCAAGTCAGTAAATGTATGTTGATAAAATGCTGTGAATGTGACATGTCAGATAAGAAGAACTGTACTTGCTGTAATGATTGTCAAGTCTGTTTGTCCAAGTTTTATACTGAATGCTGTGATTGTGTGGGTAGGTTGATAGTTCTTTCTGTCCCCTTTTTGTTTATGATACAATGATCCTTTATATGGAATTAACATTATGATTTACTATGCATCCAGCGCAATCCTCGGAAGGTAGAGTTTACATAGTTAATATTCCATTTTTGAGCATGATAACTGCAGACATAATCTTAAACAATTAAGTGTATTGTTTCATTTTCTTAAATTTTTTTTTGAATATTTTTACAGGTCTGTGTGCTAAACAAGATCCTCATGACACACCACGTAAAACGAGCTCTGTAGAAGATTTAATAGATCCTATACCTGATTTATTTAAAGTCCTAACTGAACAAGTTGATAGGTTAATGAGATGGACGTCAAAATCTTACCCAGCGTTATCAGAGGTGTTTACTAAACCTAGTGGTAATAACATGGACACTTCATCTACATTTGGTATGTATCTACTCTGAAGAATATAAGTAATCTTAGCACCTTGAGCTCATTGACATCCGCCTGAATTCGGCCACTTTCGCGGTCCTCATCGATTGAGTTTAACAAGGACAAGGAATAGTCTTTCACTTGTACCATAAAGTAACGCCACCTAAGCTATTTGCTGCAACCAATCGATCTCTATTTCAGTTATAACAATCTCACCCAAAGCTTTCATTCAGACAATTAATCTTCTTCATTTGGTTTGTGTTTTCATTTATTATGCAATAATCTTTTTTTTTACGTGGATAAGAATAAGTTTCATTACACAAAAGTGACATAGTCCTTTAACATTTAGCTCATAGGTATCATATGGTTAAACTAATGACAGATGACCATAGTAACATTATCTGACAGGCTGGCTATACTCAAAGAATTTTGTGATTAGAATGATAAAAATTACTTTTTGTTTATTTTTATATTTGTTTGTTTATATTTCAGATGTAGGTAAATCCCTAGAGAAGGCTATAGAAGAAGAACTATTGTCCAAACAGAACTGTACAGTGGCCTTCATGTCACAATGTATGTCCATCAGAAAGTGTAAGCTATCTTGTAAATCTATGGGTGCTGCTAAATACAGGTGGTTTCATGACAATGCCTGTTGTGAATGTATCAGTTCCACATGTTATGACTATGGATTAAATCAACCCCAGTGCCTTAAATGTCCTCTAGATGATGAGTTACTAGAATTGGAACTGGCTGAGGGGGTGAAGAACGAAGGAGCCGGGCAAATGCTTTCTGCTGTTGAAAGAATGATGGACAAAGTTTGAAGACTCTTATCAAACTATGTAACTTCTGTGCTTATTTATTAAGTTAAAGGACACAATATTAGGGCACAAATTAAACAGATTCTCCAATTTTAGAAATGGATGATTTTTGATTTTGGTAAAGGGAGATAATTTGATTGTCAGATGAAGTTGGGTCTGAAAATAATTCCAAATTTGTAATACTGTTCACAAGTTTGATAAATTCAGAACTCTGATAAAATATGTTATATTTAGAACTTCAATCGTGGCTACAGCAGCTCTAATTTTTAATAAACAATTATAACGAACAAAAAAAAATGAAAACTTACAAAAGTGCCAGAAAGATCTAAATTAGAGTAATTTTCAATTGTAGAAGCCAATTATTATGCTGTTTGTGCCCATTTTAAATCCATACATTTTACACAATTTAGCATGTTGCATTATTCATCCTTCAAGCTAAGTCAATTTTAATCAAAATGATGATCCCACAGAGTTAGTTATTATATTTAATGAGTATGATAATCAAAATGTGCCTTGCAATCAATTTTATGCTCTTAGTCATCTTAGACTTTATTGATTTCTTTTTGTCCAAGTTGATGAACTTCTTCACTGTTGTGTCATGCATTTCACATTTCTGTGTATATTCCTTAAATTGTGTCTGTCTAAGAATGTCCTTTATATCACTATTACAGCTGGACATTTAAGGTCTTCTGTTGGACATTACTGGCTTCAAAAGCTAGGGGTCATATAAGGTTGTGCATTTTTAATTCTTGATAAATTTGTGTTCATTTCATCCAGAATTTATAGTAGATGGTTTCTGAATTTTTTTGTCTTTTTTTTTTAATTTTTATAACATTAGATCATTCCTATAGCAAGCTCTAGTTTGTTATTCAATAGCTTTAATTAATATGCAAGATATGTTTAATTTATGTGCATATATTTTGCATATCAATGAGTAGTTAGTAATTGTATATTTTGATTAATTATTAGATCTGTATACTGCTTTTTAAGGAAAATTCTGATTTTTTCAACTTTATAACTACATCTGACAGATGTCTGTTCATTTGTAGTCAGAAAAACTAAGGTTGTGTTTTTGTTTATACTCTATATTTTTATAGATCTTTTTACATATATTTCCATTCTGTATCTTTATATAATAAAGTGCTTTATAGACAATTTACTTTTCTTTTTGCAAAGGAATTTAACATGGTTTTCTTGCCTATGCATGTTGGAAATATTCTTCAATTTAAATTGAATTTGAAGGGAACACTTACACCTTCTGTTTAGAAATAAGCATAATTTTGTGGGAACCTCACATTTATGTGTAAAGCAAGGGCCCAATTCCCATACACATGCCAAGGCTTTGAATCCCGTGAACTAGAAACGTTGCCACTTTCTAGAAATTGCCCAAAAGACCAGCATAGTGACATTGAAATGTGTCAATATAATATGAGTGACAGGGTATAGAAAACACCCCTTATTTAATCACGACTCTAAATTCCTGTCCAATACTTACTGGTCACTCACAACGCCAGGTTTAAAGTGAAGTGACAGCACAGACACACCCAGCGCTTTGTAATTAGAGAGTGTGAACACCGTGGATGACATGATGAGGATTTGAAAGGGAACTGGATTGAAGTGACACGACAAACAAAACACCCAGCGCTTTGTAATTAGAGAGCCTGGACTTCGTGGATGACATGATGAGGTTTTGAAAGGGAACTGGCTTGAGGAAGGGTTGTTTAGCAGCTTGTTATAGAATGTTTGAATCTTGATGTCATTTGTATTTAGGGCTGTGAGTAGACCGAAACACCCGACTCTATTCCAACCTCTGATAGCTATTTGGACAGGATGTAGGCTGGTGTAACTGTCAATATATCCATCAGAGGCTGGAATGGAGGCAGATGTTTCGGACTAAGCTATGAGTAACGTCAAACAAATGGTGGTTGTGGGTTTACATTTTTCTCGGCAGGATCACGCTCGCTTAACTTATGCTGTTATTCTTGTTAAACATGTTCAGATCTAGGCTTAACATAACTGAATGAATTTAACGATATACTTTGGTCGCTTCTTTCCACAGAGCTTTTATGTAAAATGAAAATAGCCAGGACACCGGCCGTAGCCTATTGGCGCGGAGGATGAAATACAGGGCTGACATCAGTAAATGATTTACTACATTCATCACTATAACAGAGAGTTCTAATAGATACACCGTCGATACATTCAAATCAAAAGGGCAATTTGAGATCTGGGCAGAACCGTTTAGAAAGCTCTGATGAACAAAAAAGTGACGTTTCGTTAATATGATTCACTATAATGTTATTTTAAAACCAGTATATACAATGTACAGGTTATACATAACAAAACAATATTGAAAAATAACATAATATTCTCTCATACTATTTGTATATATTAACAATATTTCTGGCAGGGGTGGGGAGCTCCAGTAGCCACGGGCCTGAGACGCACCCTCCACAAGCGCCACGTATAATAGGTCAAAGTAAGAAATGCTCTTTCGTATTAATCCAGGCACACACAACAAAATTTATTAATAAATATTAAAAACTTCTAAAAAATAATTTTCATCAATCGTGGTGAGATTCAGGTGAGGCTATCAAAAATATCTTCTGTAGAAACTTTGTTATATCACCTGAAAAACGAAGATATATATACTGTATATTCTCGAGTACTAGACGCAGCATTGTAAAATTACTGTATATTCTCGAGTACTAGATGCAGCATTGTATAATTACTGTATATTCTCGAGTACTAGACGCAGCATTGTATAATTACTGTATATTCTCGAGTACTAGACGCAGCATTGTATAATTACTGTATATTCTCGAGTACTAGACGCAGCATTGTATAATTACTGTATATTCTCGAGTACTAGACGCAACATTGTATAATTACTGTATATTCTCGAGTACTAGACGCAACATTGTATACTTACTGTATATTCTCGAGTACTAGACACAGCATTGTATAATTACTGTATATTCTCGAGTACTAGACGCGGCATTGTATAATTACTGTATATCAATACATCATTTTCATGTGCTTTTGAGAAACACGATAAACCATACATAATCAACCATAAGGTTCGATTTTTCATATTATTGATTTCGTTAATAGAATATCAAAGTAAACTTACCAAATATTTTAAAAGAATATTTATAATAAACAAAGGGAAAGTAGAAAAATAGTCCACTGAACATAAATATCACAACATAGAGGTACTCCATTCTTGGTGATGTGACAATCGGGGCTATTACTAGATAGATCGAGGCTAGAAGCACTATTATTGGAATGATTATCGGCACCTATAAGCAATCAGAAATGTATTTTTAATTTCAAATGAACGTACAAAGAATTAAGGATGAAACACGCAATAACTTCTACGACAACAAAGCAATCTAAAAGGAACGTTAGTATTACTTGCGTTATCCGGGACGCCTTGCTAGGCCGCAATGGTGTGTCTAAACTTCGGTTTTATGATTTTGCGACGTTAAAAAGGTTACGGGGGCTATATCCTCATTCTCCAGGAAGACTATTTACCTTATATGGTCGTTCTAGATCTGGTTTAGTATATCTGAGAACCAAGAGAGAAGCTGCCGTCATACCATAGAATATCCAAGCAACAAACCCAAAGAACCCAATCAATTCTCCAAGATTTCCTGGCAGTAACATCAGGAATCCTATCACGGTCTAAAGTACAGAAAATATTAGCAAATTAGCAACATGCATGGCAAAAATAGCAGGTTTCGTTAACATAAATGGGGGCGTGGCTTATTATGTTAATTTCTGAACTAACTGTTGACTCCGAGTGCTTTCAATTCACCAAGCATCATCGTTTAAACCACTGCCCAAATAGCTTCGTTTGAGGCAGCAAATTTCGTAAATCAAAACAACTTCTTCATACGAGAGGGGTAGCCAGTACTCATATAATATTCACGGGAATAGTGTGTGTGTTCATCTTTACGAAACAAACTGTATGTTGAAGCGTGTTGATTGGCCAGTTACTTTCGTCCCTAATACAAGGTTTACCTGAAACAGCGAATCACAATAGATATATGTAATAGTTTTTTGTTTTAAGTAACGATACTCGAATTTACTTATCGTTTTCTATCCCATAATAATATGTACTTACAGTAAATATAAGAGACGGTAATGGAGTGCATTTTTTTATATGTATAAAAGATAACACATTAGCTAGATGACCATCTCGAGCGGCCACCAGACTTAGTCTACCACTGGCGAATAGAATACCATTAGCAGCTCCGAGACAAGACAATACCACAAACACTGGCATAATCCAGGCCATTACACCTAGTACCTTCTGCCCCCAAACCTGAAAATGAGTTGGATATGCATCATAAATCTACAAAGTCAGAGATAAGTCTTCTAGTCTCCAAGACAGGACAAGGGTTAGCTCAGCAAATGCAGGTGCAAGCGGCTGATATGCAATGGTACAATAAACTTGTGGCCAAACCGCATGTGTATATATGCTGAAGATCTCTCGCCAACTAGAAAATGAACAAAAGTGTTATTTTCTCTGGGCAGAAGGGCGCAAAAGTTTCATTTGCGTAAAATTCATTTACAAATGCTAAGGCAATGTTAACACTGTACATGTATTTCATTTTGGATGTTTGGAAAACGTGTATCTGTATCGTTGCTAAACTAAAAGATGGATATTTTGAGCGGAGACTCTTTAATCACGTGCTTCCCTCCGACGGTAATAGACGATTTCTTACCATGGCCACAGCATCTGATAGTACCATTTCTTCTTTAGAGATGACAGAAAAATACCCGATATTCACAAATAGATAACATATAGTGGTTAATGGTATACCAAATCCTAGAGCTAGTGGTAGATTTCTACAAAGGAGAAAATAAGCATTCATTGACTGCAATGGTCCACGTTCTTGTTTCACGGCCTTGATTCGATTGTATGCTAGGGAATACGGCCAACCAGGGCCCTCGATTCCATGCGTAATTATTTCTTACAGTTATTCTGTCGAGGGCTCAGATTGGTTGTATTCGCTAGCGTACAATCTAATCAAATTGCAGTATTCACAAACTTCCACGAAACGAGAAAGTGGACCATTGCAGTCAAGGTATCAAATGAAGGCGTAACAGCTTGACATCGTGAAGATTTACTAATCAGTTCTGGTTACTTACCGGGTTGGATTTTCAAGTTCTTCTGTAACAAAATTTAGATTGTTCCTGAAAAGAACAGAATTATTTAAAGTCAAAAGGTAAATCCCATTATCTAAAGATTGAACAATTGTTAACGCTTGTTTAAAATACTCTTGTTGTCAACATCTCAAGGATGAGGCTCTTTTATATCTGAAACGAGTTCGTTTACGAATTACCACTCAGAAATTAGGCTGGCTCTTATCATTGAGGTCTTAAAAGCCTGGTGCTGTGACCCCCCGTTTTAGTCAATTCTCTGTCCCTCCTTTTGCCCCTCCACCTGATACTACTGTTACACAATAGGTCTACACAATGACCTATGTATGGGCAATATTTATGGCTTGTTAAACGTTTTCTTGATCAAAGAAACCATAAACGACCTACCAGCCATCATACGCCCAAAGACCATTATAAAAAGCTAAAGCTAACGCCGCTGGTTCGGTTTCTTCCGTTCCCTCAAAGCCTTCTGAGATATACTTCGTATGACCTATAACAATATATCAAAATATTACAAATCTTACAAACATTGGAACGCTACAAGAACGCTCATGAAATGAATATACCAGCGGGATCTTTATATCTTGATATTATCTTGGTTAGGTGTTGGTGAAATAGGGCTCCGTCACTGGTGGAATCCCTACGGGGTTTGTCCTGCTTTGAACCTCCACCCCCTCCTTACCCCTTAGTTTCAAATTCCACATCATTGAGTTAAATGTCTGGTATTATCAACTCCTCTTGAAAATTCTGTGCCCCCACCGACGTATTTATAGAAACGCCTCTGCTGCTCTTATACATCTATATTGAGAAAAAAATCTTTTTACCTGTGGCCATCATATAAAAACCGCCTACAGTGATCACGCCTATAGCTATCAATTTACTCGCGGTTAACCAGTTCTGTAATCTTGTAGCCAGTTTGACACTGTAACAATTTATAGCGGCGACAAATACTGAAAAAAATAAGACTAGATTTAAAAATCTATCATTGGAATAACAATACGGTCATCGTGGGGGGTCATCGTGGGGGTCATCTTGGGGGGTCATCGTGGGGGTTGTGCTTCAGCTTTTACGGAAAATACCGAGGATTGCCGAATGCGGAATAATTTTCCGGAACACAGATGTCAGTGTGCGAACTAGTCAGTGGCGGAGCCAGGTTTACGATCGAGATTGCCTGCATTTCTAACCTAGTTATGACACTTTTGACATGAGTTTTTTTTAAAACTCAATGTCCAAAGGGTTAATAGTACTCTTAAGCCACTTACTCATAAAAACCATAGCCATGATCTTCTTGATAGACTCATCAGCTTCACAATCACCATAAAACGGTTGAATCAGATACGTCGTTAAACTGAGACACAAGATGGCGAACATGGTGGGTCGGAGTATAAACACGCCCACCCAGTCGTACAGGAACGCCGGCACTGGACCCCAACACTTATTCATCGGTTGGAAGGTGAACATGAGATAAGAGTGTTCTGCTCCCGACAGAGGAATGGCTGATCCAAGTTCAGCATACGACAGGGCACCTGAAAATATATAGTATAATTGTGTGAACAATGCGCACCATTGTATAACACGCAGCCTATATTATAATTTTATAAAGTAGAGCTTCTGAAAATATATAGTATAATTGTGTGAACAATGCGCACCATTGTATAACACGCGGCCTTTACTATAATTATATAAGTAGAGCTACTGAAAATATATAGTATAATTGTGTGAACAATGCGCACCATTGTATAACACGCAGCCTATATTATGATTGAATAAAGTAGAGCTACTGAAAATATATAGTATAATCGTGTGAACAATGCGCACCATTGTATAACACGCGGCCTTTACTATAATTATATAAGTAGAGCTACTGAAAATATACAGTATAATTGTGTGAACAATGCGCACCATTATATAACACGCAGTATATAACCTATTGCTGAAATATTAGTAATACTAATACTTAGTATTACTTATATACAATATGAATATGAAAGAGATTAGATGCCTTGACGAGAGCCTTACATTAAGCGTATAACGTAGAGCATATTTAGGTATAGGTTAAGTATTCTTGAAACAATTGCAGTTTTCTGTAATCAGATGAGTGGGCAAGGCATAATATTATACATTATCAAAAACAAGACGTATTTGTTCATGATGCACATGTATGTTTTAAATGTGTCAATATGAGAGTAGAATGCCTATATTCACGATATGCTTCTGACTCTTTCAAATTCCATGCTTATAAGATGTCGAATTCTAGTATGCTTAGTGTATGGACAATTGATACAAACATGGCTTAAGCAAGTCCAGAATGCAAACAAAAGAAGAAAACATACCAACCCATAAGCGCCAACAACCCACATAATGCCCATAATACCAAACTCATAGCCACAGATCCGGCTCCGGCTAACACCCCTCGTGGTGACACAAACACTCCCGAACCTGAAAAGATAAACAGCAGTTTTGAATCTTGAACGATGCTTTGTATTATGACCTACAGCAACTATAGTGTTTTCAGTCGGTGAATAACTGGGCAAAACATTCGTATTTTTCCGGCAGATATCCACAGATCTCTTAAAAGAAGGGGTTTTATGCACTTGAGTAAGTTTGCAAAGGAACATAACAACAGCAAGAAAGCTCAAGACAAAATCAATTTCGGTAATGGAGAGTCTGGTAGCCTTGGAAATCAGTGTCAAGAGGTTTGGCAAAGGACCGCCGGTATAAAAGACCCCCTTGAAGTTATTATCCTTTACAAAATTCCTAATAAAATATGAAAGTTTGGCCTTTCAATTGACCACCGAGGTGGTAGAGCAGCTCGAGGTTTGAAAGAAGTCGACATGTGGGTGCTGTTGTAGAATATTTACCTATCATGGTCCCGACCACCAAGGCTATTCCACTGAATAGACCAACATTCTTCTTCAGTTTCATATCACCATTCGGCTGTTTCTCGTCTACAAACTTATCCATTTCTAAAAAATAACAATACAGCTTTGAACCTTTAATTCGGAACTTACCTGATCAATGTTTCGTGCATGCGTTCATTTTTACAAAACGAAATGTAAATATTTCTACGTACAAGTTGATTGGTCGGTTTGCAACTCACGTGACGTCATGAACACTTATTATTTCAATCCTTAATATGAAGTTTGCCTGCTTAAGAGGAACACGGTAGAAATGTGTTATAGTTTCGGTCGATGACGGAATAATGGGTATGATACTTGTATAATAGTGGGCGGGGGGAGGGGGGAGGGGGGGTGGTATATCTGTAGTTGCAATAGCAAGGCCCTGTAAAAGAGATTATTATTATTATTATTTATTATCATTTTTCATCTGTCTCTCATATTAATGTAGCATATTAATGTGTACAGATCGATCAGTAAGAGTTTTAGCTTACCAATTTATATTAAATATGTATGTAAATCACATTAATTATTGAATCTATATTCCTGGTGTAATTACATGTCAATTACAATTATATATAGCCGTTGTTAGCCATGCCTGAAGACTGTACAGTGTGACAATTGTATTATACAGATACATGTTTAATTATCTACATTATTTTAACGGCTATTAATAGGTTCCATTCACTCATGACATTAAACGGGGTCAAAGTTCACAACATTCCCAGTCTTAACGTCAGCCATCTTCACAATGTCAAGCAATTACGAACTGCGTTTAATACTTTGACTTCATCAGGCTCTTTTCTTACATCACAGAAGTTTGTACATGAAACGATTTGATTCGATAGAACGATAGCGAATAAGCAAATCAGAGGCATTGACAGAAAGTCTATATACCATTAGCCTTTATAACGATGAATCTGATTGGCTGCATTCGCTTGCAAACATGATTCTATCAATCTTATATTTGACATATTGAGTTTCGTTTCGTGCTTTTCTGCGGGAGACTCCATTTACAATTGTGAAAAGTATATTAGATCTCAACAGGAAACAATAAAAACTGGCGCAGTTTCTTTAATCGTATAATAACTGATTACAGCATAGCTCAGCTGTTTGAATAGATGATGTAATTGTTACATTGCTATTATGCACAAAGTTTATCGAATATAAGGGTCAATGAAAAAATACAAAGTAGGCTGATATTACATTCATTTTACTCATATACTGAAAGGCACATCATGTGAATGTATCGTATTCACATATATCTTTATCTATATCTATATCTTTCAATTTGCTTACAATAATAACATATTTTGAAATGAGTTTACTGTAACTGCCTGTGTCAGAAGTCTGTTTGCAGTATTTTGCAGTATTTCAGTGACGTTTTTTTTGTCTTTCAGTATATATGTACCAGTAAACTAAATCCCTGTTGCTCTCTGCAGTGGCGTCCCTATGTATCAGAGAGTTCGGGGTGGAGCCACAGAATTGTCAGGGATGAGGACCCAAAAGAAATCCCTTTCCTAAATAAAATGATAAGAAATTGGAAAGTGGAAAGTCCTAGGCAAGCTTCAGGGTCCCGATTCTAATGTATATATGCCAAAGGATCTCTGATTGTGTCAGTTGCAGGGGGGCGAACTGAACTCCTTTTAAGAAATATCGACAGTTTGCCGTTACGTTCATTCTTATCTGGCATATTGGTTTTAAATTTATATTCCTAAGGATGATTGGAAAATATAAAATATTTAGTTTAGTTGGAACGTTCCTTCATTTATATCACAAACAAGTTAATCGATAATTAATTCACAGTTCGACAAGACAGATCTTTAAACTGATGATATTGAATTACAACGGATCGGGACGCTTTTTTCAAAAGCATGTGATGCTATGCAATACACCTATTTACTGTAAACGCAACATAAAGGTATGATGTATTAGGTTAATTAACACCCAGCCATGCTTTCTGTAAGCGATCCGTTGATCCGTTGACTTTCATTAACCGTGTACACTATGTTCACATTGTGTTCTTTCAAAAGCATGCTGTTTACAGTACATAAAGCTATGTTGTACACAGGCCCAACTTCTCAATTGAAGCTGAAATCAGTCTCTATCAGCTATTGGCCCCCATGCAAATGCGGCCGACCCTCCTTGGCACATTGGGCTAGTTACGGGCCTGACTGTCCAAGATAAATAAACACATGCTTCTCGGCTCGTATCAATAAACACTTGAGTTTCACTGACTGCCTACCTTGTTTGACCGAATCCGTTGTTGTCCTATATACTTCACACACTATCAAACACTAAACATATTGTTGTTGTGATAGTCACACGATGCCGTGTGATAAACACCTTTATCCTGCCACACCTTGCACTAGATATACACAAACATCGAGAGGTATGCGGTCACAAGACTTCTTTTTACATCATTGTTATGTTAACTGCATACACAACTAAGGCATAGGTGTTTACTCATGTGGAACATTATAAAGTAGAAATTTTTACATTGATTAAAATATCAATATATGACCTGTTTACTTGTATTCTGAACACAGAGACTGTTGTTATTTACAGCACAGTTCTATGAAGCTTTTGGCAGCCATATATAATCGTTTTCAATCGAATTTTCTGGTGACTTGGTGTTATATTAAAGGTGAACAATCGGGGTTTGAATTGGATTTTGTATATATGTAATTAACCTTCAGAAGTTCTAGAAATGTACGAGAAATGCAAACGGGTATAATTCCGGACACACATGGATTTGAAGCTTAAAATTACGACAGTGAGCTGTGAACACTTTTACTTTTAGCTTAGTTAACAAATTCTCCTTTCTGAGACTTTACAAGGATAAACTCACTAGCAAAGCCGTTTATGTTCATTCTTTTAGAACACCTGGTACCCGCGACTATAGAGCATGTCAGCCTGTAGTTAATGATATATCTTTGGTATATATATATTAGATTGAGGAGTGGAAAAAACAGAAAATTCGTCATTATAGGATTTTGTTAAAGATGGGTTTTTTAGTGTCAAATTAAGCAAAGTTTATCAATTGGTGTTTCTAATTAATTATCATGTATTCTTAATCATATCATTATGTTCTTATTGCATATAATTAAGAGTTTTAACCAATCATAAATGTCCATATATGTAGAGTCTGGATGAACAAAAAAAAAGACTTTTTGACATTTCTGGATCAGTCACTCATTGGAATTCTGCTGGTAATTCTCTTCTTATTTAGCTAATTATGAACTAATTATGGCTATGTGAGACAAACTGGTATTTAGAACACCTCTTCTTTCTATTAATATAAGTATTAGCATTTTCATTTTCATAAATGAAAATAAGGGAACCAACCTTTAAAAACCTGTCCTGAAATCTTGTATGTGCACAGATAAAATAAGTGAATGAGTTATTTCGAATGAAAAAAAACCAAACTACATAAATTATTGATCCAATAGAATTTAAGATCATTTAAAAGATATATATTTCAATAAAATATGTTACCAGGAGGTTTTTGAGGTTTTTGAAGTTTTTGACAGGTGTCTGAATTGAGGCTATATAGAACAGTGGCGTTTTATGATGTTCGACCACCCTCCTCCACACCCTTTTTAATATGTTATCATTTAATATAGTAAAAGATTTGTCAGTAACTCGATGGAAAATTTGGTGGCCCCAGATGGGCCTACTCACCTCAAGTATCCTAGAAACGCCACTGTGTTGACTGTCAGCTTAAGGGTGGGGTTGGGGGTTGTATTTAGTGTTTGAGGTGATTTTGGACAAACCCTGAGGTATTTTGGTGGGTGAGAAAGAACAAGTATTGGCCAACTGGAAGCTTGTCAAAAAACAGAATTAACTTCATTGCATCATAAAACTGTATAGAGTTCTATTATTACACCCAGATACCCTGTATTTCTTATAGTCCAATAAGTTCCTGAACATCAAACCTCAATTTGAGAATTATCTGTCTTTCAAAGTTACAGTTCAGGCCTAAAAAACAAATTGAAATGACGACAAGCTTATGCAGTGTATCACGAGGGAAACTTTAGTTACTAGAAGTTAGTTGAGTATTTCCACGGCGATAGGTTGTTCTTATACCCTTACAAAACAAAACAGTTTAGTCTTACCTGTCATGATGAATTATTTTTGAAATCCGATACTGTATATCAAAATTAAAAAAACAAAGATTGTTTTCCAAGTCATGAAAACACACCAATGTTGAGAGTACGTCGACACCTTGCAGTATGAAATAGCCTACTGGGCATTTCGTATCAAGCTATGAAAACAACGACCTGTGATGCTCAACCAGGTGAGACGTTGTCAACTAACTTTTCATTAGCTTCCAATTACAGTTATTCACTTGATATGTATAAATACAATACAATTACGCACCTTTTTCTGTATAAGTGGGCCAATGAAGACGGACAGAAATGGGATATGGAGGACATTTTGCCAAAAAGGAACACCAACAGCGACTAGACGCTTTTGTGTTGTTGGGTTCACTGGCGTTTTTCATGCCCGTGAAATATCTTTTTTGAAGTGAAACTTAAGCCATTTAAATGCTCAAAATACATTTCAGGCCATCTGAAATTCATTGGCTTCTGGGGTCCCCTGGCAGCCCCAGTTGATACACAACTCTCTGACTACACAGACAACAGTCATTGTACCAAGCAATAAATTTCGTCTGGGCAGGTAGGTTTCGGACTATCATTCAGGCCTAATCAAGCGATGAAATGAACAAGTTGATTACTAGCTATAATTGTCGCGGTTGACATTCTACTGTCATTTGACACAATAGTCCATTAAAGCTGTCGTGCCTAATAAAAATGGCTAGCAAAGGAAAACTGAGAATAAATTCGGGCATAGAATTAGAGACTTATGGTGAGCTCACTTTGTCTTAGTCCAATCTGACCCTACCATTCTTCGGACGTTATATTCCCAATGAATATCGGCACGTTTAGTCGAGGTATAAAATTTCACTTTGATGGGACTTTGCTCTGTAATTTGATTGGATTGTACGCTAGCGAATACAAGAGGTCTGTAAGCAACACACTATAACTTTTATAATCCTACTGTATTCGCCACCGTTTAATCCGATCGCTCAATTTTCATTTTCAAATTTCAAGAAAATAGTCTAATACAGTAAAGGTATTATACACAGTATTATTAGATGAAGTTGTTCTACCCTACGCTAGTTGCCATTATTTAGTCATGACAGCTTTAAGTTATTGGTATGTTACAAGTCAAAAGGATAACAATAGAATGTATAATATTGATGTATTGATAATACAATATTATGACATAATAACCAATCAATTGTCCTTCTCGATAATCATCTATATATAATATAGTGTCTATTATATCATTATATTCTCAATGGCGGCGCCAGTGACGTTACAAGGGAGGCGAGGAGGGGGGGGGGGGGGGGTATTTGCTACCTTAAAAATGCGGTTTGTAGGCCTATACTCAATTTTATCCCCTCTTCATTTTAAAAAAATTCAATACTATATAATTTTCGTATAGTCTTCTAAATACTCCAACCTAGACCATTCAGAACAAATCATTTCTTAGCTGCAACAATGGCATTTCCCCCTGAAAATTTTGTGGCCCTTGCTCGCCTCCCTGAACTAATGTTTCCTAGAAATGCCACTGAGCTACAAAACGTTCAGCCTGTGAGATAGCCTGGAAGTAGGCTTCAAACACTGTACAGAAACAATGGCAAATCATACCAACCAAATCGGTGCCATCTAATTTAATCACGTGACAGCAATATGGCGGGTTTAAATTACAGCTGAAAGAATTTAACTTTTTCAATGGTTTGTGTATTGATTTTGTTTATTGCAGCAGCTTGTCAACCATTTTCAGATCACTAGAGCGATGAATCAGGTGCTTTACCATATATATAGAAGCGTGACTAATAAGTATTCTTACGAAATCTTGAGTATTTTCCTCATATTTTGGGCATCCACGATGCTGAAACAATAGACGGCTGGTGCGATTTGCCCCTATTATGAAAAAGTTTGCACTGATGATTATGTTCTCAAATCTAGAGACAATCTTAAATTTTCAGCATTATTTTGTAGTTGATGTGGTATTTCATTTGAAAGGAAAAGGCTAAAATACCAGTCATTATCCACTAGGCCTAACTTATGGTTCTAGCTTATGGTTGGACATAAGGACTTACTGCCTGCCTTGCAGAGTAGAGCCTGGTCTAGTTGAATACTGAATTTTTCATTTATATTTCAGATGAAGTTAATACATCTTTCGTTTAAAGAAATCCAAAAACTTTCTGAAGATTTTAAAATATTATGGTAGAAGTTCAGCCATATGGAACCATATCAAAAATTTCCAAAAATTCCTGAAAATTATGTTCATTATCCATTAAGATTTTATGGAAACATTACGCAGAGTTTCCCAAATTCTGGAGCACCAGCTGGGCCAGAGAATAGGTTTCCTAGACAACAGAATGTTCTGAGAGGAGCTCCAAGGAATATTACTGATAATGATAAACTAACCAATAATTTTTTGAATTCCGTCCAACAATTTGAGTCTATGAAAAATGAATTTCGATCCAGGCATCTACATCAACAAGCAAACTCTCAAAGACAAGAAAATTTACCAAACTTTCATCAGAATAGACAAAACTACAGATCATGTTTAAATCAGAGATTGTACAATCCACTGACAGGAAATTTTGAGTCAACAAGTTCAAATAATATTCCAAGAAATACTAATATCCATCCAAATTTACGATTTCGGATGCCAAATCCAGCATTTATGAGTCACCAAATGCAACAGAGGTTCAATCTGCCACCCTGCCCTGCTGACTTAATACCACCTCTTCTACCTCCCCCTGTGCCACCCATGTTGCCTCCCCCTTTGCCACCCTTGCCACAATTTCAAGGACAAGGTCAAAAGTTTTTGACCAACAGCAACTATAGGGACAAGGGCAGAATTCCTTTACTGAATAGACCAATTGGACAGGATAACGTACCTCAAATGACTTCTTCATTTCTTGATAATGATACAAATCGTCAAGATCCATATTCAATGCCAAAACAGAGTTACTCAAAAGGATGCTCTGATAATTCATTCAGGAACAAACCATCCATGAATAAAAACCATCTTCAGGAAGACATTGACAGTGTTCAAAGTGGTCCTTCAGTCCAGTGCATCATATCTGTAAACTCTTCATCCATTGGCTATTCAGATGACCCCAATTTCATCCAATCATACAAGCCCTATGAATGTCCTCAAAGATTCGCTGACCCAAGATATTTAACTGATTGTGTTGAAAGATCTCAATATGCCAGAATGACAAACGCTGATGTAACACAAAACTCTAAACTAAAAACAAAATCACATGAAAAATACGAACGGCAAATGAAAATCAGCATTCTGGGTAATGGCATGAATTTAAGTGGCAAAATTGACAAATGTGAAATGCTTACAAAATCACAAAATTCCAATCTGAATCTGTCTGACTTCAAAATAGAAAAGTGGTCGTTTACCTCTCCGATGAAACTGAGTGTGAAAAAAGTGCCATCACTGGTATCCAGAAATAATATTTCAATGGATACAGGGAAAGAAAATAGGCCACAAGTCGTTTTGAAGAGATTATGCAAATCAACAGTGAAGAAACATTCCAAATATCTGTTACTGACTTCTCCAAATCGTGCTAGTACGCCATCAGACGTTAAACTGCTAAATCAAGACAAGAGAAGTAATTCTGAAAGTAACATTTTTGCTCAGAAAAACAAATTACGTAAATTTGAATTGGCTAAATTAGAATCAAAGCAGTTGAATCCATTGTGGTTAAGCCCAATTCTGTCAGAAAGTGAGCAATCCAAATTGAAGAGCCCTGGAAATGAATCTCTCGTGGAATCCAGCCTGAAAATTTCTGGACGCAGCAGACCAATGGTCAAATCAAGAAAGTGTAACAGGAATCTCTTTGACACGATTCCAAATCAAAGAGTCCAAAGTTCACAATCTCTAACATCTCTTTAAGAAGGAAATCAAAATTGACTCCACTCCAAGCATCAAAATATTACTCTCAAGCTAAAATTTCAGAAGCAGACTTAGACTGCTCCAGACTGGATTCCTCTTTCAAAATCCAGCAAACCACAAATTCTAAATTTGGAAATCCCAAAATGTTTGATCCTTGTGTCATCTCTATGGCAACTGGTTTCAGGAACTCTGCTCCATCAAATTGTCTTGGAAATTTCCATGACAACAATGTGATCTATTCCTCGAAAAATTCTGATTTTGGTTCCAAAGCTTGTAATGATGAGGCAATGCAGCCATCCAGTTTTGAGGATTTTGAGGACAATATAGGAACTTCTGATCATGAAGGTGCTTCAATTGGTGGAGAGTCCACAGAAGCAGACGCCAACTCAGGTGATGGCAGCCATTGTTCCAGCAATCTATCCCAATATTCAACAGTTTATGACGATTTTAAGAGAATTCAAGACAAAGCAATCAAAGAAGCCAAAAGTAGTAAAAAATTGCAAAAGTGTAAACAAATATCCACTTTCATCCCTTCCAAGAAAAAATGGCATTTGCGATCAAACACTTATCCATTGTTTAGTCCTGCTAAGAGGACACTTGCAGAAAAAGCTGAATTTAAAAATAGAGCTAGGCATACCAGGGGTGGGAGTTTACCAGAAAATATATCTCTTGCCCCTTGCAAGATTGTGATTGAAGATCTTATACAGATGAAAGACAGATTCAATTCCATTCAACGAAAATCACAAACTTTGTCTAATAGGAATTTCAAAGGGGAGAACCTCAACCCCAGATCCAATTCAGTTCCCATAAAGACTAGAACTAGAGTAAATCCTGCTCCAAATAAAAACAGTTCAACTGGCACTACCTGTACACAAATTGAAAAAACCACAAGGCCCAAAAGATTTGCATCCTCGGCGGCGTCATGTTCAAATGCTGTACCCTCAGCTAGGAATAGACACAGCTCTGAAAACAGTACATGCACAGTCTCATCTCAAACCTTCAGAACATCAAAATCCACAAGATCTATGGGAGCCTATTTCGATACTGCAACTTCGAAACTAGTGACAGTGTATCATCAACCATCAAAGGCTGGTCGAACCAAAATCTTAAGTCGACCGTCTTTTCTGCAATCTATGCAAGCTAAGCAGAAACTGACTTCTCATTTGTCCACAAAGGATTTGTGTCCAAAATCTTTGAACACCAAACCAAGGAGCATTAAATCCCCATTGACGGACAAGGAGCTTAATCTAAATGTCTGCGAAATTAATAAGTCTTCTGCCCGCAAACTTAGACCTGGAGGGTTGGGTATTGAATGGGCTGAGGTCCAATCTGGTTCACCTTTTGGAAGTGTCAAGAAGAAGGTAATAATGTCTGGTTCTTTGAAAGAACCATCTGAAGCTAGACTAGACTTGAAACGAAAACCTGCTTCTTCAAGATCTTTGGAAAACTCATCTGGAGGCAAGCCAGACTCAAAGAGAACATCTTTGACTGATTCGAGATGTACATTATCTGCTTGCAGAAGATCTGAAGAAGAGGAAATGACTTGTTTTTCTCAAACATCCACTGAAGAGGTTCTTCCACATAAGCAACAGCTAACACAAGTAGGAAAAGAGGCAAGGTCACCTGCTGTGGATCCACGATTTGTAAAGAAGCCACAGTACCTTGATGGACAAAAGCCTTATACTTCAACTTTTGATGAACAATCAGCATCTAGCAGGTCTTCCAATATTCTTCAAAAGTCTTCCCAAGCTTCAAATGCCTATGATCATTTCCAGCCATCTGATGGATGTCCTATTGATACAGATGTAGCTTCAGAAGTGGATAGTTGGATCTCTGGTAAATCAAAAAGGAAGGTTGTGGATATTGGATCAGAAATAACAGCAACCAAAAACCAAGATGGTGGAGAAGCCTTTCAAGAGAAGAAACAACTACATACTAAATCCCAAAACCAAGATGGTGGAGAAGCCTTTCAAGAGAAGAAACAACTACATACTAAATCCCAAAACCAAGATGGCCAAGACTTAAAATTCTTTAAAGAAAATAGTCAAGAAAAGAGCTGCCAGCAGAAGATCAGTCCTAGAATTAAACATCCTGTGATCCAATCCAGCAAATTGTCTACAAATAGACCGAAATCTCCAATGAAAACAAGGTTTTCAAATGGCATCAGAACGAAAAAGAATTTCTTCGGGTACAGAAATGGAGGTGAATCACCCATTAGCAAGAGAAGCAAGCTATCTGATCCTACCCATCAAAATTTAGCATCACCACGAAAGCGAAGTGTGCCAGTTAGTTCTGCAGATCCAGCTGTCAAAAATGATCATCAACCAAAAAGAGGAAGACCCTTCAAATCCAAAAATGTGGTAAAAGATGGAGCCCAATCTCTTGGTCATAGAGCTCAATCATTAATGAATCCTAAATCCTTCAAAAGTCACACAGGTATCAGAGAAAGGGGATATGAGGAGGTACCCAAAAAGAAAAGATGTGCTGAAGGAGACATAGGCTGTCATGTTCCCAGTAGAAGCACCAGCATGGGATTAATACCTGATCCTGCAGCTAAAAGGATGTCTAATAATGACCCATTGTCAGTAAGAAATGATCATGTTCGAAGAAAACCACAGAATCATGACCCAGATCCCAGATCCAGCCTTCCATGTGATCATCACCAAGAATTACAACATAATGTTTCAGTTAAACCATATTTGAAAGGACCAACTTGCAAAATGGAGCCAAATCCTGAAGCAAGACAAACAGTTACTCAGTTGAAAAGAACTAGTCAAGTTTGTAGAAAGTCAACTGCATGGAGAGATTCTGAATCCTCCAACCATGGAGTAACTGGCTGTACAAATGAAGAGCAGTCTAATGAACCATCAAGTGTTGTTCCCACTACATATAGTTCTTCAGACAGTCCAAAAGCAAAGAAGAAAAGACAAGAAGAGGGAGCAAAAAGGAGACACCTCCCTGGAGGAACTATTGTCAAAACACCAACAGCAACCAAAGAGCCTGACTCAAGACATACTGATATTCAGAGCAGACATGTTCGGAGTCCAAAACAAAAGAGGAACAAGGGGGACGAGGAAAGTAAGTCTATTACAAAAATTCCTGGAAAAAAGATTGGTCCCCACAAATCACAGAAGAGTAATAATGAATTCAAGCAACACCAAAAACACCATCTGGCAAACACTGACTGTCAAAGATTCTCTGGAGCTTCTTCAAAGAACAATCCTGATCAGCTAAAACCTAAAAGAAAACACAGAAGAGTTGAGAAACAGACAGGCACAGATAATGGAAATGGTAAGTTGGCATCTTGAGCCTTGATTTCTAAAATTTAAGTACGTTCCAGATATGAAGAAATACAATAATCTTATTGGATAATGAGCGTAAATGTGATATCAGTGAAAGTGATTGACCAATCAGATGAGGTCTTTGAGAATAAAGTCCCTGAATCTGAAACACAACTGAAACTTAGAGAACAGAGAGAAAAGTTGATTGAAAATGTTTTCAATCTGGTATTCTGTCCTGTTCTAATTTTAAAGAGCTGCTCTGGCAAATTGTCTTCCACATCACAGTCTGAATCTATTCCATTTCATTTCATTCTTCTGAATTTGAGACAATACAATGTTTTTCTGTTACAGCTGCAACATCACAAGAAGCAATACAGAATACCAAACACCAGAAGAAGAGATCAAGTTCTAAACCTGATCCTGTCTCAAAGCAGCGACTGCACAACAAGGAAGGGAATCAGAAACAGAGATCTCATCATAAAGATAAAGAGGGAGCTACCCAGAAACCCAGTATTGTCAAGAAAACTGCTCAGATAACTGTTTCGAAAGATGCTGCAGTCCAGGGTGCGGTCCAAAAACGCAGAAAACCAACATTAGTAATCACTAAAGGCAAGCGTTTCTGGTGTACATTCTGTTATGGATTCCGAGGTGCACTTGCTGATCTGAAAGTTCATGTTGCTGAAAATCATCCTTATAGATGTCAAACGTGTAGGACTGTTTTTGACTCTGGGGTAGGTATTGATTTATTGATTTTTAACACAGTCTTAGTACTTGAATCAAAAGATGCTCTCTTGAAATCATAATCGTCATCATCTCTTAAAATTGAACTATCTACAGCACAAAATTACCATGTTTTGAAAATTTTCTAGTCCAAATACTGATGACTTGCAGTTCCAGCTGTCAAAAAGGTTAGTGTTGCTGCACCATGACCCATGCCGGTCTCTATTTTCAGGTTTATTTATCATTATCACAGTATGTAGATTTGAACCGTAAAACTAAACTCCAAAATAACCATTTGGTGATACATTGGTAGCACAAACTTATAAAAGAAATGAGCTATATCATAATAAATACCTTGGGTTCTTTGTCGTAGTTAACTATAAGTTCATTCATTATTTTTTCAGTTTGAGGTAGAGACTCATCGTAAATCACACGTCAAAAAACTATACCATTGTAAACTGTGCCAGAGAGATTTACGATATTGTAAAGGTATTATCCAACGCCATGAACGCAGCACGTATCATAAACAACTTGTCAGAGTTCAGAAACAGATACTGGAGGTTATTCTCAATAAGCATGGTTCACAATCACTGGATGGTCATTCTACAGAGTTACCTGATCTTTCACAGTTTGCTGGTAAGTTGAGGGATCTGTAGCACAGTTGTTAAGAGTGTTTGAAACTTTCGATTTCCTCATTATTCCAGTCAACTCAGCTGTAAATAGGTAAGGTTTATCTGGAAAAGATCGTTGCCAAGAGCTTTGGAAAAGGAACAGCTGGTGGAAAGGATCCTTAGTGAAACTAAGTTGGTATCCTTGTAAAATAAAGTAATTAAATTTTTTTTTTGACTACATGTTTAACAGGTCAAGTACAAAAAATGAAATTTGTTGTAACTTTAGAATTTTACGTTAAGAAATACCTTACTTATGTGAATTGGGACCCTGGCTATGTATTCGCACAAGGATCTTAGTGGTAGGATATCCTAGAAACAGTGTTAGAAG